ATAATTTCTTATTTTTGGTGGAAGTGTGGATTGCTACAAACCTAAACCTAGCAACTAGCAACCTGGGCCCAGAAATGTTATTTTAAAGAAATTACTGTGCAGATTTACAAGTATGCAAAGATAAATAGAAAAGGATGTTTCCTGCAGCATTGCTTATTATATAAAAAATGGAAAACTTAAATTCTCAAGGAGGGATTAATTGGACAAATTTTTATTATTCATATGACAGAATACAATCACCCACTAGACATAATGAGGCAGATCTATATGTAATAACATCAGGAGATGCTAAAACATGTTCAGCAAAATACAGAACAGCAATTGCATCAAAAAAAAGTGTGTATACTCTCACATTTCTATAATTTTATTTTTAACTTCCTTGCCCCTTAATTTTCCAGTAAGATTTTATTTGAAAATTTACTACATTTTCTCAATGCACTGAAGGAGAAAAGGATTTGTCTGTTTCTTTATTATGGTAAAGGAAGGAGGACAGGGAGAGAAAGGGAGATTTTTTTACTTTGTATTCTCACTGTATTTTACACATTTGTTGAAATGAAGATTTCACGTTAGTCCAGGAACTAGCATTCGGCAGGACCATGATAACAGAGGAAGACAGAGAAAGTGGGTAAAAAGTAATGGTGAAGCCTTTGGAAGGTCTTCTTTCTGATTGTTTCAATTTTCTCACTAAATTATTTCACTAAATAGAAAGAAAACATTCTCAAGTGAAAATGAGGATGAGGGAAGTTTTGGGCCTTTGAGGAGAGGAAAGGTCTGGAATAATCATTTAGGAGAGTAGGAAACTAAAATGTGATTGCCAAGGGCCAAGCAACTTCACCAATTGAGCAGAGGAGAGCCAGGAGAAAGAGCAGCCAGTAAGGTGGGGGGAAAAATAAAAGTGTTTTCTGTCCTGAAAGCCAAGAGAAAAAAGTGTACCAAGGAGGGCCAGTTGTGTGTCTTTCTCTAGCGATGTTCAGTCGCACAGTTAGAGCTGAAGGGTGAAAAGAGAGATGGAATTAACCAGGATTGTGGTTTTACCAATCAAGTATGATTAAATGAGAGAGGCGTAATGGAAGGAAAAAAAAAGAATGATTATGATTAACCATGGAACTTGAGTTGAGGAAAAGAGTGAAGTCATCAAGGGAGTGATAGTGAAAAGGTGGTAGGATAAATGGATTGGAGGTCCCAGCGGGGCTGGAGGACTATTGGGGTCAGGATACTATTGAGACTGAGGTAAAAAGATAGGATATGGGTGGTATGAAATTGAGATGGGGAAAGGGCTGCAGTTATTGGTAATGACCACAGAGGGTAACAAGTGACGTAGGATAGAGGACAAGATCAAAAGAAGAATTCGAGGAATTGAGAAGCCATAATATTGGTAGGACCATGACCTGTTTGTACAGAAATTCTAAGAATTACGTCAGAGATAGTAGTAGAGTATTGCAGACAGTGGTCACGAGCTGGGAGCTAAACTGGCTGAGAAATGAGAAGTGACTTGGGGTGTTAGCAGATGACAACGCAAAGAGAGAAACAGGACAATATAACTTGAAGTCATGAGATTTGGAACTGATGGTTTTTAGGAAACAGAAAGGTAGAATGATTTGAACATGGCAATCAAAGAGGACATCTACCCCATTTCTAGGCCCACTGGAAGGGGCCTGAGAGTAAGGTTTATGAGAGTAAAGAAAAACACATACATGAGAGAGCAAAAAGGAAAGCAGTGTTGAGGGAAAACCAGGTTTCCATTAGAGCAAGGTGAAGCTGGTAAAGTGAAGAGATTTTGCTAGTCATGAACCATGAATACCTGAGGGCACAGTGGACCAGTTTCAGGAGTTTATGTGGGATGGGAGGAGACAGAATAGAACTACACAAAATCCTATGGCAATTAAAGTACGGGAGATTAAGGGAGACTGTGGTAAGTGACATAAACCAAGATAAATGGCATAATATTAGAAGAAATAAACCTAAGAAGAAAAGTCATTGAATTTAGGACAGACCATGCTATGGTTCAAGAGGTGATACTTTTAATGGGATCATGTAATCTACAAAGAGTAAGAGAAGGAATGTAGAATGAAAAACTAATTATCCTATACATAATAAATGATGTATGCCTGAGGTCAATACAGTAATGAAAATGCTACACTGGAGAAGATTTAAAAAAGAAATTTAATTATTAGACATAACATATTTCCAAGGAATTCAAAAGCAGTGTCAACAAAGAGTCCATGATAAAAGACTCTGTACTGATCACTATGAGGAAAATGAGAATGTGAAAAAGAACTAGAAGTTTTATGGCACTGCCTATCAAATCTAAATTTAAAATACTCCCTGGCAGGGAATAAACTGAATAAGTAAATCCCTGATTTATGGGAAATAAAGAGTTCAGAAAAAAACAAGAGACTAATCCTTAAGAGAGAATAATGTATAGGAGAACCTGTAGTATAAACTTTAGGACCAGTTCCTGTCTCTTAGCTCTTCTCCTAGTAAAAAGGCACACATATTCTTGAACCTTAATGAAGCAGTGGCTGGAGACCTCTGACTACAGGAGGCAGATGTGCTGAGGGAGGCAGGTGTTTTCTTCAATGTCTACTCTTGGAGGAGCCAGTAGATATATGGGAGGTTTTAGGTTAACAATAAAACATACGGGGGATATAGGCATGTTTGACAAATAGTAGAAAGTTGTGTTTAGCAAGCAAGATAGGAAATAATGCAAGATGATGAAAACCTAGTGTCCAAATAACTTCCTCATCAACACTGGCAAGCACTGGGCTGAAATCATCTTAGCAACACCTCTTCTGAACTAGATAAGCCTGTCTTATTTCTCCAACTGGATCAGTTTTACTGCAGTTGAACATACTATAATCAGAACATGCCTTCTCTTTTATAATCCTAAACATCTAGTACCTCACTTACTTTCCCTAATTTAATGTTGTTCCCTTTTTTGCACTCAGAGTCACTGTTAATTCAAGGACATTTGTGCCTGAATGAAGTGATTGCCAAGCCAGTATATCCCCTTCTTGTAACTTTTGCCTGAATCTAGGCTTTCAGAGGCTCTAGGGCAAGTATATATTAATATATTGACTTCTGGGAAGCAGAGGGCTAGAGCAAGGACTTTGAAGTTATAGTCTAGAGTTTGAACCCTGGCTCTGGCACTCACTACATAGCCTTGAAAAAATTATATAACCTGTGTGTTTCTACTTCACCTGGAAGATGGAATATTTACAGAGTGCTAATGAGTAGTTATTTATCATTTAATTATATCATTAATATTAAGACTATGAATGAGAGACTTGGTAACTGACACTGGTTTCAGTATACAAACTGAGCTGGTTCAATGTTCAATTCAGTATTCAAGCACTATTTTTAAAAAGCAGTAAGGATGAAGGTCTTTTTCTGAAATACTACACTAGAGATGTTTAAAGCACTGGAAGCAAAGTAAACCTCGCTGTCATACTGAGGAGATCTGGGTCCTCTGAGTGCTTACTTCTGAAGTTGAGAGCTTGAAATTCCTTACCTGACAAAAAACTAAACTCTAACTAAAAAGCCAAAAGCCTTTTCACTAAAGTGTTTTTGGTATGTTATAAGAAAGGGGACTACCAATTGTATTTCTGAAGTGCTACCACGTAACAATTCATAATGGGCCTATAATGCCAAGGAAGACCACTAAACTGCCAAAAACCCAACATAATACAAATGTAGAGGATGAAAGGATGGGGACAGGAAGGGCAGTGATGTGAAGAAGGGCCCAGACACCATACATTTGCAATGGCACTCAGAGCACAGAGCCCAGACCCAAGAAGGAAACTTATGCCAGAAGCCAACACAAGGACAGAGTCTGTGATTAGAAAATCACTTGATTTTAACTTTCATTGTCAACTAGTCTTTACTAATACACTAGAGTAGTATAAGTGGTCACCATCACAGTATTTTTAACTAAGAGAGTGGAAGTAATTCCCTAGGCTGGACTTCAGCATGGAAGGTGACAGTTCTCTTAGAGGAAAAGGCCATTTTACCCCAAATGACAGGGCAGGAAGACAGGCCTGAGCATTATATCTTACACTCCTACATACAAACACACATATAACTAGGGGCCACCAAAGGCACCTTGCAATCTATTAGGTGCCTTATTAGAACAAAGCGCATCCTGGTTTTACCAGATCACTTAAAGAAAAAAATAATTGTATTTGTGTGTAAGTGTGGCAAGGAAATGCTCCGACATTGCACTTAATTTTCACCACTAGGGTAATAATAAACCTCTAAATAAACAAAAGTGCTGGAAGAAAACATCAATACAAAATTACTAGGCTATAATTGTCATTATACAGAACAAGATCTTTTAAATACTATCTCTTTCAGGGGAAATAACTACAAGTGCCCTATCACAAGGCAGCATAAAACCACAAGAATTAGGAAGTGAAGAAAAAGGGCAAAAGAGATCAGCTCTTTTAAAATAAAACATATGAAAGTAAAAAAGAAAAGTAAAAAAGTAAAAAAGTAAAAAAGAAAAAGTAAAAAGTAAAAAAGAAAAGCAAGAATTTACACAGAAAACACAAACCAAAAGTCAAGATACCTGGATCTGATCATATAATCTTGGGAAAGCTAGCTAACGGTTCAAAGTCTATGTATGCTACCATGGAGATAATACTCACCCTAGCTGTCTCATAAGGCTTCTTTGCAGGTCAGATAGGGTAACATATGTTAAAGCACTTTGGAAATTATAAAACACAACAGATATGTAAAGTAATAGTAATGGTACTTAAGTTGTCTCTCACCTTCCAAAGAAAGAACAAGTATATGGGAGCTTCAGTTTAAAATAACTTTCTTCCCCATTAGTTAACACCACAGCTACTGGTCCTTTGAACTCCAGGAAAAAAAACTAGCAAAAGAGAAATCAACCCTCACTTTCTGGTCTCAGTTTTCTAAAGAGAAATCCCTTTACATCTGTTTCATCTTTGTCTCTAATACTGAAGAGATTAACCTAAAAGGCTCTCTTACAGTCTTACCTTTGGAAGCTGTAGAAGCAGAGGGCCAGGAAGGAGAAAGCATCAGATATTGGGAAGAAATGGAAGAAAAAAAGAATCACATATGTTTCTTTGTTACTGTTGACAGTTGCTCAGCCACCCAACCTGTTAAAGACTCTACCCAACCCTTATTAAGTAAGTACTCAGGTCTGGAGATGGCACCTTAAGGCAGTGCCAGAATCTGTCCAAGAGTATCATCAAAATGACAATAAGGTGAGTTTGTGTCACCTTTCTCATATCCCCAAAAAGTTATACTGACATACAACAGTTCTCTTTCCCAAACTCAATAACTCCATAATACAAAAACATCTTCTCTTCTGAATGGGGAAATCCACCTCTCCTCTACCCAACATCCCCTTTCTCCCTCACCCAGGGAAGAGAAGGGAATGAGAAACCTACTGAAAGGTTATTCTAAGCCCCACACTGGACCTTTGCATTAAAAAGGAAGGTACTCACTCTTGGTCTGGGCAGAGAAAGTATGGGTAAGTTTGGCGAAAAGATCATTGTTCTCAAAGCGGTCCTCCTTCACCTTTGTCCAAAAGCAGTCTTGGGAGAGGTCCTCAGCCACAAACTGTGAATAAAGGCAGGTGTTAAGAATTACAAGCTGAGCCCTATACTTTCCATCCTAGAAAAGTGCTGAAGATGCAAAAGGGGTGTCTGGCTGGCTATCAACAATGTCTCACTAGAATAAGACTAACCTGAGACACAGATAACAGCTGCAGTGGAATTAGGAGATGAGGCTTCCAGTTTGTTTATTGTTGATTATTCAACAACTAGATTCAGTTACACTATTCATCCTCCTTCTAACTTCAAATCCTTTAGCTTCAGAAGCATTAGGCTTTATTTCACATCTTCTCTTGCTCAACATTACATTTTCACCATCAGTTTGGGCGACTGTGCCAAATTTGTTCGTTTTATGAACAAATACACGTGTGTATATCTAGGAGTGTAAGACCATAATGCTCAGGACAGTTCTTTGCATTCAGGGCAAAATGGCCTTTTCCTCTAACAGAACTGTCACCTTCAGTGCTATGAACAAATCACTAAGCTTTTTATTTTGATTTGGTTTCTGGATGCAAAAGGCTGACTCAGAATCATAGGTGTCTCAAACACATCATGGCAACAATGCTGTGCCAGGCAAACGTGGCCCGTGTAACTCACATCTTGGGGAATGGAAGTATCAGAGTGTATTCATAAATCTATGACTTTTGGATCAGCACAATTATCAGTAATTTGCAGACTGGTGAAATGACTATTATCAAACTCTGTGTTACCATGGTTCTCATATTCTCAGAGAAAAGGCAAAATATATTAAAACTTAAGGATAAGTTTAACTAGGAGAAGTTCAGAGTCTAGACTTCACAGAACTCTCCACGGTGATGTCTGGCATATAAGAGATGTCTAATATCAACTGAATAAATATAAGCATGAGTGGAACTTGAAGACAGAAAGATGCAAGCCATAAGGGAGGCCCACCCATGCACAAAATACAAACTAGGAAACCAAAGTGGTTTCTTAAGATCTACAGACGAAGAAATGGACAGAAAGTCTTACCTTCGACCAGTTTGGCCTCCGGAGCTGCACCTCTGGCTTATAAAGCTTTTTGGGGGTTAATCCAAATGGCAGAACTGGGGCTGCGGGAACTCCAAATCCAAAGGGGGGAGGCGGAGGCATACCCATTCCAGGTGGAGGTGGAGGAATGCCAGGACCTCCAGGAAATGGAGGTGGTGGAGGGATTCCAGCACCACCAGGAAGAGGGGGAGGGGGAGGTGGCATTCCTGGTCCCCCAGGCAAGGGAGGAGGAGGTGGGGGGATGCCAGCACCCCCAGGCAAAGGAGGGGGTGGAGGAACAGCAGCACCTCCAGGCAAAGGAGGGGGTGGGGGAATGGCAGCACCCCCAGGCAAAGGAGGGGGTGGAGGGATGGCAGTAGCTCCAGGTAGAGGAGGGGGTGGGGGGATGGCAGTAGCTCCAGGCAAAGGAGGGGGTGGAGGGATGGCAGCACCTCCAGGCAAAGGAGGGGGAGGTGGCGGAGGAGGAATGGTACTACCCCCAGGAAGAGGAGGTGGGGGTGGTATGCTAACCCCTCCTGGTAACGGAGGGGGTGGTGGTGGAATAACAGTGCTGGAGTCACCAGGTAAAGGAGGGGCAGGGGGAACTGTAGCACTGCTAGGAACAGAAGGAGCTACAGCAACAACTGCAGCAGAGAGAGAAGCCATTTCTTTCTTGGCATCTTCCAGTTCCTTTGACAGCTTGGCAACCTACAGAAACAACATCAATATGAGTACTTCTCACCCCAATGCAGGGGCTATGAGGAGGGCTGGAAGAAACCTAAGAAACTTACTTGATCCAAACTTCCCATTTTACACATGGAGGGATCGAGAGGAGCAAGATAGATTGTACGATTTATCTAAAGTCACACTGCTATTTAGTGGCAGAGCCAAAACTAGAATTCAGGTCTTCATGTTTAAGAACACGAAGCATGGTTTGTGTTAAAAGGACAACTTCAACCTTTATCTTAAACTCTCCCTTTGATTAGAAGATGTAAAGGTCAAATAAATCAAATGTTCTAGTTATCTAACTAACACAGGCACTATACAGATAATTATGTAACCACGTAAGTGGCCAAGTCATCAGACAACACAGACCATTTGAATACCACTATAAAGAAAGAATAAATCTGTGCAGTGTGACTAAGATAACAGAAAAGTATCCAATATGTAAAGTTTAATTTTTATACCTACTTATTAGAAGACTTATTACCTTTATTTCTAGGTGGTACTGTGAGCAACTAATTTTATTCTTAATGTTTTTCTATATTTTCCAAATCTTCTGTTTTATGTATCACGCCCAAAACAAAACAAGTATATGCTTTTAAAAATATGCACCATATAATTAGATTACCCAGTAGTTAGGTGAACCCTGCCTAGGAGTAAGATGACTGACTCCTGTTCCAAGATAGGCACCTCCCAAGGTTACAGGTCCATCTGCCCTCCCTGCCCAGGCATTACCTCTCCTGTGAGCTGAGACACCTCTGCTTCCAGGTTCTGTTTCTCTGTGGCAATGTGTTGCTTTTCAGAATCCAAAGCATCTTTTTCTCCCTGAATATCCAGAAGCTTCTGCTCAAAGTCGTTTTCCATCTTTTTCATTTCCACCTGTAGCTCATGTCGGGCTGTTAACTCCGAATCCAGCTAAAGAAGAAAAGAATCAGGCTCCCAGCAAGCTCTCCATTTCAGTAAGAGGCACCAGTTTTATTCCCCATAATTTACTATTTTGTGTCAATATTTGATCTATAGAGCTCACTGACCCACACCTCAGGTAAGGCCACAGGGAAAAAAGCACCATGATTTTCACCTTAAAGTCAAGGTTAAAGGAAAGGGGATTCGGGATTATTTTAATAGTCTTCCTATTTTTATAGTTTTAAAAAAAAGAAAGTAAGGAAAAAACCTAAGATTTTAAAGATATTTAACCAGGACAGCCATAGTAGTATAGAGCCAGTAGTCTCTAGGATCAAAAAACTACTAACAACAATGGGAATCCTTAACTTGGAAATTCATGCCCAGGAGGCCAGGCGTGGTGGCTCACGCCTGTAATCCTAGCACTCTGGGAGGCCTAGGCGGGTGGATCCCTCAAGGTCAGGAGTCCAAACTAGCCTGAGTGAGACCCTGCCTCTACTAAAAATAGAAAGAAACTAATTGACCAACTAAAAATATATATACAAAAAATTAATCAGGCATGGTGGCGCATGCCTGTAGTCCCAGCCACTCGGGAGGCTGAGACAGAAGGATTGCTTGAGCCCAGGAGTGTGAGGTTGCTGTGAGCTAGGCTGACGCCATGGCACTCACTCTAGCCTGAGCAACAAAGTGAGACTCTGTCTCAAAAAAAAGAAAAGAAAAAAAAGAAATTCATGCCCAGGAAATTGAAAATGAATTTAGAGAAAAAAAAAACAACTTTTTTAAAAAATAAATAAATAATCAATAGGAGTCCTTAACAACTGAAGAGAAAAAGAAGACCCAGGTATACTCCAGTGTCTATTGTTCTCGGAATAAGAGGCCAAAATGCCAAGCAAACCTGAGAGTGCCATCACTATTAGGTAAGAGTATCATCTGTCTTTTTTGTCCAGCCCAGCAACCCAAGAATTGTGCAAGCCCACCACTAGCTCCTCATGGTCACACCCAAGTCACCTTCTCCAAGGCCTAGAGGAAAGGTTTCCCCTGGGAATTACACTACTGGGTGCCAAATGCTTTCAAAATACCATGCATAAAAATGGTCTCACAGGTCAGGAAAACAATACTCCTCAAAGAAATATATACCTAATACAGTTGTTTTTTTTTGTTTGTTTGTTTGTTTTTTTTTTTTTTGGAGCCCTCACACACACCTTTTTTTCTAGCTCTGTAGCTTTGGCTTCAGATTTCTCCACCTTTGTTTTATCAATCATTTGATCTAAAAAGAAGAAGAATCAGTATGTAAAATTCCCAATTCTACTGATCTACCCCTTTCATACCTAAGCCCTTCAATATAATCAAAAAGCAGTCTTTTGTCCTTTTGCTTATTTTTGTTATCCTTCTTAATGTTCTGCACTAGACATAGAAATTAAACTTTCAGTTAAGTTTAACATATAATTTCTGAGTACATACATGGTAAGGTTACCATGCTGGATGGCATGAAGAATGCCTATGTGTGACACCTTTGACTCTGGGACCAGCAGGAGTTACAGATAATAAATGAAGTCCATCCCTGCAACAGGCGGTGGTTTGTGAGGAGGGGCAAGTTTTGACTTATGTAGAAATAAACTAAAGGCCTGTATATTCCCCAGCAAAGATATTTGTTATGACCTACAAAAGGACAAAAATTGAAAACTCTGGGGACTGGAAAGATATCTTCTCTGAAATTTTCACTGAAAGATAGAAGCAAAGGAACCAGATAGGAGAGTATGCTTACCAATCAATCCCTCAATATCAATCCGAAGGTGCCGGCACTTGAAGTCAGGGTCAGCCCCATTCTTGTGCAAAACTATCTGAGAAATACATTCTTCAATCAACTTATAGTACTGTGGTCTATGAGAGAACAAAACGGGGTTATCAAAGGAAAATAAAAATGTAATTTTCAAAAGTATTCAGGACTAAAAAATGTTAACTGCTTTGACAATTAAAAAACTTGAGGATAAGTGTTCTGGAAAAAAAAAAAATCTTTTTGTAAAGTTAACAGAAGTATCACTGCCATGCTAAGAAATCTCCTTCTTCCACACCAGCTATCCTACTACTTCAGATGATCAAAACTTCTTGCCATCTGCGTCCTAGTGCCAATACTTTTCCATCTGAAAACTGGAGCTTGATCAAGTGTGATGGATACCACTGTTGCAACCAGAAAGAATTTTAAGTAGCCACCTCCCTTTGCTATCATGTTCACGCCACCTACCCACTTCCCTCCAAAAATGGAGGGGCATTCCACCTCATACATCTTTTACATATGAATGCCTTTCAGTTGAATTAAACAAACAACTGACAACTTCTCTTGTATCTGTGATTAATGACCAATCCCTGGGTCTTTGTCTTTTCTTTTTCTCTTTACAGAACCACTTTTGAATTTAAGGATTTTGCTTTCTCCAGTTAGGCTCAAATTCGAAACTTCGTATAAGCACACCATCTTACCTGGCCTCGTAGTCATTTCGTACCAATAGGAGGTGCTGAAGGATGGACAGGAAGTGTGGCTCTGCCTTTGAATCTTTCACTGTGTTTAAGAGAATCTGGAAGACTTCACTAAAGTCAGTGGAAAAGGGGAGCAGGCTAAGGAAAGCAAAAATTTAGGAATTCTATGTGACAGGTGCCTTGCTCAACTCTTGGAGAAGCGAGGGAAAAGCAGCAAGATACCACTTCCACTCTGCCAGAAACCTTAAGCTCTATAGAACTTCATTTTGCTGAGGGACCAGTGAGTGAGTTGAGTGGTACTATACGCAGAGACAGGGTCCTAGTACTTGGCTTGAAGATCAGGCAGTAGACAGAAACTAGAAGACGACTGCCTCAAAGTCAATGGTGGCAAATATTAAGAGGTAATCAAATGACACCCTCTGTCAGTCCAAACATCTCTAAAAACCAGCTCTACATTTCAGTAAACTGGGCTATCATGTTATAGGAAGTTTACTCTAATTTTGATGGCTGCTTCCATGCTGAATAACACTCAGGTCACCTTTACTGATTTCCCATGCTGAAGTAAACAAAGCCACCAGCAATAAAAGGACACCTGCCTTATTTACTGAGAAGATACATAAGCCTGCTGCCCTCTTCTAAGTCATCATTCCCCAAACCATACCATACTGGGATCTGTAAATGAATGTCTTATCTGTCTTGAAGCCAGTCAGTAAAAGGATATTCCATCTCCATGCGAATGTCATCCAGCCTTCCCTTCAAATCATAGGAATCTTCTTCCCCTTGTTCATCAAACACATTTAGTTGCACTCTCATATCATCATTTTCAATCTCTCGAAGGTCCTGTCAATGACAAAAGTAGAAGTTAGGGAACCCAAAAGTATTTTATGGGGCTAGAAACCCAGGCCTTTCAAACCTGGCTTTTAAGTTGAAAACCAGAGTTATCCCAGGAATAAGAGGGGCTGTAAGAGCAAAATCAACCCTGCCTTTCCGATAAAGTGTAATATTTTACCTGCAACACCTGATGTAGCCCCAAGCGCATCAGTTCACTTCGGATGTGAACTCGGAAGTCAAGTTCTTCAGCTGGAGTGATGAGAGCATTGATCAGCTGTAGGCATCCCACCTAAAATAAGAAAATTCAGCAGCTATGTCAAAATGCCAACTCCTGGAGCTCAAGATTCCATTTTCTTTACATGCATTCTGAGGCCCCCAAATATAACCTGAAAGATATTGTACAAAAATTCTAAAAATGACTTTTCTACTAGACAATGAGACCTAGCTGGAGCATAGGTCCAGAGAACTCAGAACTCTAAATGATTCTAAGGACTTGACAGTAAGCCTTGTTATTATAAGCCTTGGTTTTCCTAGCTTGATACCATGTCTTTTTTTCCATCTCATAATAAGGAAAACTGTTCCTTGTCTTCTTAGAGAGAAATTTAATCATTTCCCCTTCAGAACAAATTCTGAAATATAAAACACATAGTTGGGAGCCACTCCATATGTTCCATTAAAAGGTCAAAGGAACTCTGACTGAAGACTTTCCTTCTTGAATTCTATGCTTGGGCTCAGTTTCAGGGAATATACATGCCTTGAGTGCAATGGAAGTCCCACTTTTTAATCCATCCAGCAGTGGCTGGAAACGTTCCACCTCATCCATCTCAGCTCTTTCTGTCATCGCCTCCAGAACCCTTTCATTCCTGCCCAAGAGAAAGGAAAAGGGAGAGAACTGCCCAGGTGCTCTGACACAGACATGCATGAAGGGTAGATCACGCAGGGGCACAGACCAGTTAGGAAACAGGACATTATTAATTCTCCAGATTTCTCACATTCTTCTTCTTACCAACCAAAGAGCAGGGGCCAGAATCTGCCAAAAGCTAAGAACCCTATCTTCAGAGAAATGCACTCCCTAAAACCCATGCAGATTCCTTTCCAAATTAAGATGCCTGTTCCATGAAGTATAAATTGGTACAACTTTTGGAGGGGCATTTAATAGTACTAATCAATTGCTAATGCATGTAACATGTGGCCTACTTCTAGAAATCTATCCAACATATATGTATAAATGTGAAAGAATATATGTACAAGGATGTTCATTATGGTATCATTTGTAACAATAAAGATTCTTGTCACCTAAAACAGGGGAAGGAATCTGCTAAAAATAAATTGGGGAATTATTAAATTATGGGACATACGTACATATGGAACACTAAATAGCCACTAAAGATAATATGGTAGATCTGTAAGTACTGACATAGAAGGATGTCTAAGATTTACTGTTAAATATTATAAAAATAAACAAGTTGAAAAGAATGAATGGCATGATTTAGCTTTTGTTAAACGAAATACCTATGCAAAAATAAACATCTATCCTATATGTGCAGTTGGCTTTATAGGCATAAAGCACCATTCCTCAGCTCTAAGATACTATCTTTTGGGATAGCAGAAAATGTCTTAGAATCAAGGAAATGCAATATGTTTGCCTGTGCTTAGAAAAAGATTTATGAGACTATACCAAGCCATTAACAGTGGTTATCTCTGCTGAATAGGATCTGGTAAGGGATGAAGCTGTTAAATTCTACGTTATATAATTCTATATTGCTTGAATTTCAAAAAAAAAAAATTGTGTCACTTCTGTATTAAAAAAAAACAGTAAAAAGAAACCCTTGTTCTGGATAATACAGACTTTTTTTTTTTTTGAGACAGTCTCACTCTGTCATCTAGGCTAGAGTGCAGTGGCATCATCATAGCTCACTGCAACTTCAAATTCCTAGGCTTAAGAAATCCTCTTGCCTCCGCCTCCCAAGTAGGTAGGACTACAGGTGGGCACCACCCAACCACCCCCAGCCAACAATACAGACACTAATGGAGATGTAGGTGATATCTTACTACACCTCTGACAACCAGTGGTACACTCAGGACAGTCCCCCATCACTTAGGAATTGTTCTTAAATATTAAGATTCTCAGTGTTCACTTCTGGGAAGAAATATGATATCACCTAGTATTTAAGACCAAGAGGACACACAAGCAACTCAATTTTCCTCTAGACTTAGAGAAGATGAGAATGTAGAAGAAAAATAATCCCAGGTACATACATGTCCTCTGGCTGTGGTAGGATACAAAGAGCAGACAGCAGCTTAGCTGCATCAATCATCATGTTGGGAACAGCAGGATCCATGGCTCTGACCAGCAGTAGGATTCCTTCTTCTGTCTCCAACATGGTCTTGATTCCAAACTGGTAGGACAAGAACAGAAAAAGGAGGCTTAAAGACAACAGCATCTAACTGGGGACAAGTTTAGGGACTGTCATGGGTTGAATGGTGTCCTCAACAAATTCATATGTTGAAGTCCTAACCCCCAGTACCTTAGAATGTAATCCTATTTGGAAATATACTTGTTGCCGATGTAATTAAACTACGATGAAGTCATACTGGAGTAGAGTAGGCCCCTAATCCAACAGGACTAGTGTCCTTACAAAAAGAAGAAATTTGGATACAGACACACACACAAGGAAAACACCAAAGGCAGAGATCAGGAGGATACGTCTATGAGCCAAGAAATGCCAAAGATTGCCAGCAATCTACCCGAAACTAGGAGAAGGTCATGCAATGTATTCTCCCATACAGCCTTCAAAAGGAACCAAGTCTGCTGACACCTTGATTTTGAACTTCTAGCCTCCAGAACTATGAGACGGTTTCTGTTGTTTAAGACACCCAGTTTGTGGTACTCTAGTAAACCATTAATAATACTAGGGTAGAATACTTTTCCCAATATAGCTAAACAGAGATGAGCATAGCAAAATAATTTTCCAGAAGACAACAGAATTCCATGTCTTCTAGGAATAAAAACCTTTGATTTCTGTGTTCCTTTTTAATACTCTCCCTTCCACTCCAATGGAATAAGTTAATTATAAAAAAATTAAACAGTGAGAAAGATAGATTTGTGCTCAAGTGCAAATAATTGTAGGCTCTCTGGGTGTAACTAAACAAACAACAAAGAACACAAAAAGATTCTAAAGTAGAAATAGTCTGGAAGGAATAAAACAAATAAATAACCAGAGAATGAAGTAAATCTTCCAAAAACAGTAACTATAGGTCAGGAAATTTAAGAATTAACAAAAGATAGTAAAGAAAGAGGAAGAAAATGGGGCTACTCCTGAAACAAAAGTTAGAACTAGGAGAAAATGTACATAGAAGCATGTACATGTACATGTATAGTTATCATATTAAAAGGGAAAGCTAAATGTCTTGAACCTCATATTCCTAGTTCCTTTTTGTGGTTTGTCAATAGAAAAGAAAGAATGGGGGTCCAGATAGGGGTTGGAGAACGGAAAAAAATCTCACCTTGTTGTTCATAAAAGCTTTCAAGCAGCGAATGATCTCATGCTTGTTCCGGCTATCATAGCTTCTATATGTAGAAAACATAGTAAGTCAAGTCCCTTTATTCTATACCCCTTTCCCATTTGACTTTTCAGTCTTGCAAATAAAGTTCTCAGGAGTATCCCCTGACAACTTTTCTAGTAGCTGAGAATATTACTAATAGCTGGGTAAATTCTAGCATATAGTACTTGGCTCAGAACACTGACAAAATAGGTCGCTGAAGAGCGATCCCCACCATCAAAGAACTTTGGCTAATCCCTTTGTAATCCAAGAATTTAGTATTATGTTAAAACCTTCCCTTTAACTCCCTGGAGGCTCCTAAGTGCTAAACTCTATCAGGATATATCCCGTCTATTACTGCTTGCCTCCTACTTCAAAGGCTTCAAGTCTGAAAAGGTAAATGCAGGAGCTCTAGGCCCTATATTGTTTTATTTTAGAAAGATTCCAGAAATACTTTGCCTCAGGCTGGCTTCAAGGTAGACTAAGGCAGCCCAAGGTATCCCCAGAATTATTCCAACCTTGAAGATTGCCATAATGCTAGGCCCACAATGATCGAGTGTATTATAAGACTCCCAAATGGGATATGACCCAGATGAGATCACAGGGCAGCTCTGGACTAAATGAGATCCTATTTCCAGACTAAAAAAGAATCAGTGCCAGGAGACTAATAATCTTACGTGGTATAGACCCCCTATTACTCACCATGAAATTTAAGTTCCTTATCTCTTTCCTCTATCTACAATCGTCATTCATCCTCTAGTCACCCTTACAATAAAACCCATTCTCAGCTAACAGCACAGTCCCCTAGTTCGTAACTTTACATTTAACTGCTATTTTCTCCTTTATAGCAAATAGTCAAGTCCCCTACAACCCTATACCTAGATATTACAAAGAGTTGGAAGTCCTCACCCAGCAATCTCCTCTTTCTCATCATGAAGTCGTTTAAGGATGTCCAATAAGGAGGCCAGGCCCTCAGCACCAAATGTTTGCACCCAACTGTAAGGAACAGACAGAAACAATGCAATCTCAAATCAAATCAATAAATACCACTTTACCAAACAAAGTTTATCCTGGCAACTCTTTACTTCCAATTCAGACCATTCGCATACTTTCCTGACTCCTTTGATCTTCAGTCACCACTGGTGAACTCCAATGTTGGGCTCCTGCTCTTGGTACCTGCCCCCAGTTCTCACCTGACAGGGTTGTTGTTGAGAGACACACGAAGGGACTCCAGGCAGCTGAGCAGATGCATATCCCGCAAGCCTGACCTCAGCTCCTGAATGTACATCATGGCAGACTTGGAGCTCTCCTTTTGGCTCATGCCCTTGATAGGATAAAGAGATTAGCAAATACTAGACTCAGTCATAAATTGGGGGCTAATATTAGTTAATTCAGTTTAAATAACATCAGGGCAGACACCCATCATACACACTAGGTAAGACTCAGAATTGCCTATCCCACCCCCCATATATACTTCATGAAGATTCAATCAGGCAACAAAGGAGGTAAGAATGGTAACTCAAATAAGAGAACAAATAATGAGTAGGCTTATATAATGGAATGAACAGAACTGATGCAGACATAAAATGTTATATAAAATGGGCAAAACAGGTCAAAGATGAGGGCACAGGTCATGGGTACCTGCCCCAGAACTCACAGCCTTGGAGGTGTGCAAGTACTGGGACACCATCTCCCTCTTGATGATGATGTCCTTTTCCCTCAAAGGTTGCTGTTTTTCCTCATTCAGGTTCATATCCAGCTAGTAGATGGAGAAAAAAAGAGAAAAAAAAAAACAAAATTAACTCAAATTCCTTACAAGTTTTTAGTGTTTAATATTTAGTACACTTAGTGAAGAACACATAAATGCTTGAGTACATTTTGCTTATGCAAAATGCTTATTTCTTTTTTATTTTTAGAGACAGGGTCTTGCTCTGTCACCCAGGCTGGAGTGCAGTGGCACAGTCATAGCTCACTGCAGATTCAAATAAAGTGATCCTCCTGCCTCAGCCTCTCCAGTAGCTGGGACTACAGGCATGCACCACCATGCCCAGCTAATTTTTCCATTTTCTGTAGAGATGGGGTCTCACTATTGTCCAGGCTGGTCTCATACTCCAGCTTCAAGTCATCTTCCCACCTCAGCCTCCCAGAGGACCTTGGGCAAATGATGTTCCATTCCTTAGTTTCTTGTTTGCATAGTTAGTTGTGAACGTTTCAATATTTTATCTACTCTGGCTTAACCCAAAGGTTACTACTCCTTGAGTTGGTCCACTTACCCAATATCTTTATGGCTAAAGTATTGCTGGGCAGCAGGACATTAACAAGACGATCAGTGATCAGATGTTTCCATGCCCAACTCATAGATTTATTGACTGGTATTTGTATATTTAGTCCCTAATTATGGGATTATGGGATTGATACTTAAAAACTTCCACATTAAGCCTAGAATTCGTTGTAATAAAGGGCTAGTTAAGGGGGGCTGGGCACAAAAAAGAGCCTACCATGCCCATAAATGCATTTTTAGGAAGGAACATTTTTGAGGTGGAAAACTCACCAGCATCTGTTCAAAGAGAACTAGAACTTGCTCATCTGAAATATCTTGTAATGACTGTGCTGTGGGATCATCCCCATACAATGCAGAAGAATTTCTATGAGCAGAATTGGGCTTTTCCTTCTCCTTCTTAATTCTCATGCTAGTGAATCTTTCCAGCTGAGTAAGAGAAAAAAGTATTAGCAGTGATCCATTTTCATTTACACAAGAAATCACACATCAAATAGCCAACCCTTTACCCTCTTACATATGCATGTTTCCTTTGGTTCATGAGCAGCTGAAGACTCTTATGACATGGCAAGAATAAATCAGTCTTCCTCATATCTAACTTAGCATACAGAGACTCTGTACTCTCATCTATACCCAAAGATAAGAGGACTGAAGTATTAAGATTTCAAACCTCTTTAAAAAGAGGAAACTTTGTTCTTGAATCTCCCCAGCCATTTCTAAGCCCTGTAGCAGCACAGAATTGAAAGCATCGCATGTACAGAAATGCCCTTTGCTTCCCTCTAGCTGCCCATTGACAAATGTGGCCAGGCCCCCAGAGGATTCCTCCCTTCAAGAGGTATGACCACAGATTTTAATAGAAATAAGTCACGTAAGATAAAAATGCCTTAAAACCAGGAACTATTCCTTTATTTTGTACTCTCCACAACGCTTGTGTTATGTAGAAAGCAAAAGTTCAATACATATTCTTTAAAGTCTCCTTTGCATGACTTCTGGTTAACTTGAAGAATACAAAGTTCTTCAGGGGTTTATATGCCATCTCTCTGCCAAACAAATGCTAATGAACCATTTCTCAAACCTCAAGTACAGATGCTCAAAACGTGCCACTAATAAGCTGCAGCTTATCTTTGAAAATAACAGTAACTATCTGCAAGCATTGTGGGGCCTGAAGTGATCAGTGGCATCCAGACTGCAAGTCAGCTTGGAGTTGAAAGAGCATGTCCAATTTTGGAAGCCAATGAAAGTGCCAGGAAAATGCATGCAATGGGCCAAACAGAAAAGAGTTAGGACAAGGCCTTGAGATGCTGAGAATATAACACATATCACCATTACAAGTTGCAGAAAGTCAAAATTACGGGAACTGGTAAAAATTATAGTATAAGAAATAAGCTAGAACATGCACATGCCAAACAAAATTTTCTTACCTCATCTGCCATGAGCCGCTTCAGAGTCTAAGAAACAGGAAAAAGGAGGGAGGATCAGTGAAATGCCAGGAAACCTCCCAAACACCAGATGGGTTGGAGGTAAAAAGGAAGAAAAAATAAGTTGAAAGGACCTAAGCTACTTTCCACAAGTGAATGATTTCTGCCAAAGTATTCCTTAGTACACTCTCTTAGGTAAAGGAAAAGAAGAGTTTTAAGGTCACCAATACATGAGTCTTAAAAAAGATAAAGAACTGAACAGATTCTAAATCTGATGACCAATAAACTTATGAAATGCACGCGACTTCATTAAGAAATAAGGAAATGCACATTAAAACCATGGTGAGGTATCATTTTGTATTCTTAAGACTGTCAAAAACTTTCATGTCTGTCTAGCTGTAGAGCACCAGGAGCTCTCACGTACTTTTGGTGGGAGTGCTAAACTGCTACTGCCACTTTAGAAACAGTACAGCATCATATGATAAAGTTAAACATGCACATGCACTACAACTCAACACGTCAATTTCTATGTATCCACCCTGCTAAAACATGAACATATATAGCAGAATATGTGCAAAACAGTGTTCACAGTAACACTATAACATCTAAAACAGAGAATAACCCAAATAGCCATCAAGAATACAATGGACAAATAAACTGGTATATTGGTACAATGGAAAACAATTATACAAAGAAAGCAAAGGCACTTACAGCTACTCATAATACTGAACTACTATCTCATTGAATTAAAACACATAAAACTGAATTATATTATTTGGGATGTAAAATTATAAAGGGAATGATGACTACAAATGTCAAAACAGTGGTTACTTGGGGGGGGGGTGGGACAGCTGTGACTGGGAAGGGACGAAGCAGCTTCCAGGGCGCTTACTGTGTTCTATGTCTTCCCATGGACGGCGACTGCATGGGTGTTCAGTTCATAATTATTCTGCATGTTTTATGTTCTCTTCTGTATACATGCTTTATTTCACATGCATAAAGTATGAATGAGCAGATCTGTGAAAGCAGGAATTTTTCTTTATCCTACTTAATTTTAAACCATCTTTCTTTTTTGTTAATGTCCCTGGAAGAATATGGTAAATGCCTCTTGACTAACCTTCCTCAAATAATGAAAAACTAGTTCTGTTCCTGCCACAAAGCTATGTGTCTTAATCTTTTATGGACAAGAAAAATCTATATCATTATGTTCATGCTCCTGGTATCAAATGATTCAGTTAAATCCAGCATAAACTAAATCTGAACTTTGCCCTCCATGGTCCAGAGGAGGTCAAGTTCCTATAGGCTGAGTGCTAATCTCTCACCCAAAACTTTAAGAACCTTGCTCAGTGCCCATGGAATTTACTGTTTCTTTGTATGTGCTACTTACTGGAAGCAAAGGCAGAAGGATGATGAAGCAGAGAGAGCAACGCCCAATGAGACCAACAACATAGTTTCTTTTGTCGCCACTGAGTCACCTGACATACAGAGGTGAAACAAGCACAAAAGGGATGAGTGTATACAGTTTGGGTTGCCATAGCCAAGATTAAACTTATTTGCTCTTAGAGCAGAACCAAGTAACAACAACACAACTCTGGCATGGGTGTAATGAAGGTAACAGAACCTGGGTCTAAAGAACTAGTGGCTGCAGAACTGTTCATAGCTGCAACTTAAGTTAAAGCAAGGAAAACCAGCAAACTGTTCTGCCCACAAATTCTCCAGTCATCTACCTTCTGTCCACCTCTACAACCATTACCTAAGTTCACACCACTGTTGTCTCCTGCTTGATTTACTGCAACAGCCTCTTAACTGACCTCTTTGCTCTCAGTCCTGTCTGGCCCATGCCACACTCATTCTCCATACTATATCCAAGAATAACCTTTCCAAAATGCCAAGCTCTCCATGTTATTTTCCCCCATTTAAAACCCTTCAGTAAGGCCGGGCGCGGTGGCTCACGCCTGTAATCCTAGCACTCTGGGAGGCCGAGGCGGGCGGATTGCTCGAGGTCAGGAGTTCAAAACCAGCCTGAGCAAGAGCGAGACCCCGTCTCTACTATAAATAGAAAGAAAATAATTGGCCAACTAATATATACAAAAAATTAGCCGGGCATGGTGGCGAATGCCTGTAGTCCCAGCTACTTGGGAGGCTGAGGCAGGAGGATTGCTTGAGCCAGGAGTTTGAGGTTGCTATGAGCTAGGCTGATGCCACGGCACTCACTCTAGCCTGGGCAACAAAGTGAGACTCCGTCTCAAAAAAACAAAAACAAACAAACAAAAAAAACACCCTTCAGTAGCTCCCCACTACCCTTATGTTAAAATCCAAATTCCTTAGCATGGCATATGACTCTCCTGGCTTTTCCCCCCGTCTCACCTCTCAACAAACTCTTCACCTTAAACTCCATTTTCTGGCCATACTGAACTAATTGCAGGTCTACAAACAGATGATGCTGTCTCCACACCCACTTTCCATGGGCTGCTGCCTCCTCAGCCTCAACTGTGCTGTCAAGGCGAACTCTAACAGGCCCTGCAGGACACCTTCTCTCACTGGAGAGGCGCCTCTCCTTACGGTCCCGCAGTAATAGCTACTTGCCTGTCTCACAACACTAACAGTTGATTACAGCCGTCTTTTCACCGTCTGCCTCCTCTATCCCTCTCCTTACCCATGGGTAGGTCTGAGATTTAGTCATTATGTCTCCTATGAACAATTACTGTAATCTGAGGCTACTTCCCTAAAATGCCAATCCCTGCAGAAACCCTCAAAGTCTATTTCATCTCTTTGTTATACCAACTAAAGAAACTGAAGCCCAGACAGGTGGAGTAAATCACTGATTAGGGGCTGAGTTGAGTATGGAACTTGGGTCTCCAGATTCCAAAGTCCCAAAATCTTTGCATTCCTCAAATTCTTCTGCTTTTCTCCTATTTAATGCCCACTAACTCTTGCCTTTAGATAGCAAACACACATCTTTATAAGAAGGAAGACACCAGTTTCCTTTGCTTTCCTAGGACATCGTTAGAAATGGATTTGATCCTTTAAAAAAAATTATTCGTGTTTTAGTCCACAATTTGTAGTAAGGACAGCAAAAGTGATTCGTGCAGGATAAAAGCTGCATTTCCTCAACTAGTCCAACAGAGGGCAGCAACAACCAATAAATCCCAGCACCGCACCGTGCAGGCAAACTTGTGTTTTGAGAATCCAATAGCACACCTGCTGCTGCAGTATATTGAGGGTGTATTGTTTACTTATTTAATACTACATGTGCTTTTCTTACCTCCATATATACTGTGTTTGTAAACGGTTTTGTTCAGTTGTCATTTTTTAATTGTATCATTAGTAGTTTTGTGGATTCTCTGAAACGAAGAACAAGAGGTTCCTAGATCATGAGCAGAAAAAACTAAAAATAGTGGAGTCCAGGAAGATAAATGCTACTGAAGCTGTATTTACGCCTTATGGCTCAGACATCCAAGCTTTTTTATAAATTCTCTAATCATTCTACCAACCTCTAAATGCTTCCACTCTTACCATCTCCTTGTTTGCTGTCACAATTCTCTTCTGCCCTTAAACCAAACCGTTACTGTCCTAGCCTGGCTATGCTAAACACCTCACTCCTTGTCCCTCCTACTGAGTCCTCCACTAAACACTTCCATTAAAACCTATAACTACAAATATAGAAACTCAGGGAAGCAAGAATATGGAATGAAATGTTTTACAATATCAAAATCTGGCCTATGAATACAGATTGATAGGAACTTTCAGGTATAAGGTGGCATAACAAACCAAAGCATCTAATGTCTCCCCTTCTTGAAATCCCACTAAATCTACAGAAAACGGATTTTTAGAAAGAAAGGAATGATGGGAGGGAAGAGCCTACAAGATTGGGAAGAATAAGAAATAAGCAACTACCGCCAAATTTTGAAGCTGGGGAATACAAGGACTAGACATATTTAACCCAACAGACTTAAGAAAGGAGAGTCCTACACCAAAAGTTGGAAAAGGCAATAACCAACTCAAATTACACCCAAGGATCCTCAAAAGGCTCGGGAATTAGTGGCACCAGATACCTACAGAAACGGGTTTAGAGGGTGAAAGAGGCTGACAGCTGTTTAAGAAGCAGATCTCTAGAACACCCCCAACCTCTCCCCCTAAGCCCTCCCTTCTTCCAGCAAAAGTCTGGAAGTTTATTCTCAGAAGAGGGTAAAACAGAGGGTCTTTGGATTGGGGGATGCCAGGAACAGTTGTGGGCAGGGATATTCTATACCAAACAGAAAAGTAAATCTATGCCTAGTATATACAGAGACACCTAGTACGTTTCCGACTCTAGGGTCGCAGAACCCCAGCAGCCTGGCTTTTACCCTTGAGACAAAAGGTTGGAAGAGTCTCCCCTGGGGAATCAAAAAGCAACCTAAAGCTAACAACATAGTCCAAGCAGATCAACCCAGAGCTCCGCTGTCCAATGTGGTAGCCACTAGGCACATGTAACTATTCAGCATTACTCACGTGGCTAGTGGCTAGTGCAAATGAGGAAGAAATTTTTTATATTTTTACTTAATTCCAACAAAATTTAAATGGCAAATAAGCCTATGAAAAGATGCTCCACAAAATATAGCATCAAATACAAATTAAAACTGCAATGAGATATCACTACACACCTATTAGGATGCCCAAAATCCAGAAACTGACACCACCAAATGCTGGTGAAGATGTGGAGCAAAAACTTTCTTTCACTGCTGGTAGGAAAGTAAAATGGTACAGCCACTTTGTAAGACAGTGTGGCAGTTTCTTATAAAACTAAACACATCCTACCATAAGATACAGCAAACATGCTCCTTGGTATTTATTTGTCCAAAGGAATTGAAAACTTACATTCACACAAAAACCTGCACAGCGTCGTTTACAGCAGCTTTATTCATAATTGCCAAAACTTGGAAACAACCAAGATGTCCTTCAGTAGGTGAATGGATAAATAAACTGTGGTATATCCAGACAACAGAATATTACTCAGCGCTAAAAAGAAATGAGCTGTCAAGCCATAAAAA